GGGCTTAAGCAATTCTCTTGCCTCAGCCTCCAAGTAGCTAGGACTACAGGTGCCTGCCACAGTGCCCAGCTATTTTTTTGTTCCAGTTGTCATTGTTGTTTGGTAGACCGGGGCCTGGCTCAAACCCACCAGCCTCAGTGTTATGTGGTTGGCGCCCTATTCACTAAGCTATGGGTGCTAAGCCTAAACTTCTTTATTCTTTATGTATATTTATTCATATGTGCAAGCTGACTTTCTAGCTCTTTATCCTGTAGATTTTAGTATCTTTCCCTTTAAACTGTAGAACTTCTCTTAGGCCTTTTTAAGTACATATAGTTACAAATACTCTCAGTTTTAGTTTATTTGAAAATGCTTTTATTTTTCCTGTATTTTGAAGGATGTTTTTATTGGTTAGACCATTCTCAGTTGATAGCAGTTTTTTTCCAACACTTTAAAAGACTTTTCTGTTTTTTTCTTTTTTTGGTCTTCATGTTTCTCATAAGTAGGCAGCCACACTTCGAGCCATTTTCAACTTACATGCTTACTCCTATGTATTATTTCCTGTAGATGTTTAAGATTTTCATCAACTTGGGGAAATTTTTGGTCGTAGATCTTTTTTTTTTTTTTTTTGAGACAGAGCCCCTGGGTAGAGTGCTGGGGCACATCACAGCAATCTCCAACTCCTGGGCTCAAGCGAGTCTCCTGCCTCAGCCTCCCAAGTAGCTGGGAACACAGGCGCCCTTCACAATGCCCAGCTATTTTTTGGTTGCAGGCATCATTGTTGTTTGGCGGGCCCGGGCTGGGGATTCGAACCCGCCACCTTAGGTGTATGTGGCTGTCGCCTTAGCCGCTTGAGCCACAGGTGCCGAGCCTGGATTTTTATTTAGTGAATTATAATCTCTCATTATCCTTATATCAGATTGGCTCCCTTCTGTGTCTTTGATCTGACCACATTACTTTTGGGGTGTTTTCTAGCTTTCTGTCTTATCAGAATGTTTGAGGCTCATCTTTTACTTTCCCTGTCTTAGCCCTAGAATAATTCTTTTTTCCAAGGATCCCAGGTGTCTTTTAGTGAAGGGAATGGTATTTAGAAGCCAACATAGATGTATTACATGCGCTCATTGCTGCTGGTAGATCAGCAGACAGAGCTAGGGAAAATATACACATGAATAAATATATTAACATATATACGCATGTATACACATATAGTTAGTGCAGAACCTGCATGTTGTGGGCTCATTCCCAGAAGACTGCCCCGACTTCAGATGCCAGCCACAAATGGGATTCCCAGGCTGCCCACACCTCTTCCAGGCTCACCACTAATTTGAGGGTTTTGGTGACTCCCCTTCAGAATCAGTCCCAGGGTGCAGCCTCTCAGCCTGTGGATTCCTTGTGTTGCTGCTTCACCCTGTGTACTCGTGACCTGTGTTTAGTGGCCTTGCAGAAGTTATT